ATATACACACATACACACACACACTTCCTAGATGGGAGTGAATCTAAACATGGACAACTCCAGTCTTTTCCAACATTTAAAACCATCATGCAAACATTGTTTGAAAACTGGATTGAGTGGTACACTAAACATAGCAAAGATTTAGAAAGAGAAGGAGAATAAGACATATTTGGGAATTAAATACTCTCATTAAAAATGTGAGAGAATTATGTTAAAACTAATAGCTAATGCTATGACTATAAACTATATTTACAAAGCGATCAGCCCATATGTTTCAGAGAATCTCACAGGTTCTATAATATCTGGTGAGAACGTAAAGTCAATAGATATCTGTAGTACTATGTCTTTAAGGAATACATCATAATTACAGAACAAAAAATTATGCTCTGTCTTATAATTAGTGTTAAATGAGGTGAGAATGAAAAAATATTATGTAAAGAAATACTACTGTTCCTGTTGACAGCTGTGAGACAAACAACTGCTAAAAACTGGGAAGATGAACGTTGAAATTGCTGAATTGAGGTCACAGAGATGTGGGATATAGCAGTTACAAAAACACTATGATTAAAGATGATTAGTGTTCTAGGATCAACAGGAAAAAATCAGCATTGTACCGTCTATATCAACAATCAAAATGGTCCTAGATTATTGGTAAGCCATGGATCACATTAAAATGTATTAAAATATTATTTTGGTATAATTTTCCCAAATATTAGTATCTCACTTTATCTCCAATCATAACCTTAGGTTTCTTGATAACTTTCCTAGTTTTTAACTTGCCTTTTTTGCACTATAGATGTAATCTGTAGTGGAATATGCTATCAATGTAGTACAATATAGGCAAGTAAAGAACTAGGAAAGTTGATTCCATGGATTCTTACCTGGCAGATAATAAAAATACAATGAAAAATGTCATATTTTTTCCAAAGAAAACCAACATTATGATTGGAGAAAGACTGATATGTGCAGTCTGTAGTGCAACTATAGCCTGTAGTCAATATAGGTGTAGTGTGTCACCACTAGTCAACATATCAATCATGTTTGCATACAGACAATTAGTTGCTTTCAACCTACTTGTTGATTTGTTCCCATTCTTTCGCATGGTCTATACAGCTCAAGCCTCTGATTGATTTTTGTCCAGCTGTTTCATCTCGTTCAATTTTCACAAAATCTGAAGGCAAACAGATCCATATGAAATATAAGTGCTTCTTTATACCTTTATAATGTTATAATTATTATTGAATAACCTAAAGTATTCATAAAGTATACATTTAATTTAAGGTCCAAGGTGACTAGTGTGGCTGAACTGTACAATGAAAATAAGAAAAGGATAGCTGGGATACTGTCAGTCAAATAAAACTACTACACTGAGATGGCCCAACTGCTGCCTGAGTGGTAAGCAGGAAAGCAATTGGAAATCAGAAGCTAATCACTGCCAACTGTGCAACTTCTTATTCATCTCAGAGGGAGCATGAATACCTCACAGGCCCTTCTATATTTGGGTAAGCAACATCATGCACGGTGCAGAAAAAGAATAAGTAGGGAGCAAATGAAATTAAAGGCAGGAGATAAAAGAAAATAAATGGAAATCTAACTAAATCTAGTGTGTATCAATTCCAATCTCAATACTTTCTACATCTTTCTATCTTTGCAAATCATACTTGCTTCTACCACAACTGCACACCAATTCATGTATTGCCTTTTTGTTCTTTAAAATTTAATCTCTTTTTTTGAGGATCTCATCAACTCCATTCAGTCAGATCTTTCTTGATCCTTCTTTGCTCTTGATCCATTTACTTTTCTTTTACTAGTATTTGTTTCATTATTTAGTTCTCATTCATTCTTCTTACATGGTAAAACCACCTCAGCTTTTTCATATTGGATACTTCACTTTTGTATTCAATCCACATTTATTTATTGTCTACTCATATTTTTATTTCATCTTGTTTTATCACACACACATTCAACCAACATATTTTGACTGCATTCAATATACTTGTATATACTTTGTAACATACCCAATATCTGTGTCACAGTGTTGGAAGAAACATGCTCTTTTTTTTCCTTTTACAACCCTATAATCCTTTACTGCTGGATAAAGTTGGGGCGACTGAATGGAATTGAGCATTTACTGGCTGGATTGGATGCTCTTCCTGACACCCACATGGAGTTTGCAGCAAATATTTTCTCTTTGTGTCTTGAGAGAGAAATATCTGCCGCTACCTGGGATTGAACTCTCAATCTTCTGAGTGGGAGGCGAGCATCTTGACCATTAGGTCACCACACTGCTCGCAAAGAAACATACTCTTATACACAGCCATTTTTACTTCTTTCATTGCAACATACTATCTACTGCCACTAGCTTTCCACCACTGTTTGCATGTTTTAAAAACTTTCCACTTTAGCATCTTAATCTTCTGTAAATATTCATCTACTTCCTCTCTTTTTTTGCCATGTGTGTGCAACTTGCAATTAAAGTAATTGCAATTAATAGAGAATA